TCTCCGGCCTCAGCCTCCCGAGTAGCTGGGACTACAGGCACGCACCATCATGCCCAGCTAATTTTTGTATTTTTAGTAGAGACGAGGTTTCACCTTGTTGACCAGGATGGTCTCGATCTCTTGACCTCGCGATCCACCTGCCTCGGCCTCCCAAAGTGCTGGGATTACAGGCTTGAGCCACCGCGCCCGGCCTAACCACTCAGCTTTTATCTCTACCACTTCTAGTACAGTGTCAGACATAACAAACAGCTGTGGATATATATATATATATATATATATATATATATATTTTTTTTTTTTTTTTTTTTTTAAGGCGCGGGCATGTTCTGTAGCCAGGCTGGAGTGCAGTGGCGCAATCTCGGCTCACTGCAACCTCCGCCTCCTGGGTTCAAGCGATTCTTCTGCCTCAACCTCCCGAGTAGCTGGGACTACAGGCGTGTGCTACCACACCCAGCTAATTTTTGTATTTTTAGTAGAGACAGGGTTTCATCATGGCGAGAATGGTCTCGATCTCTTGACCTCATGATCCGCCCGCCTCGGCCTCCCAAAGTGCTGGGATTACAGGCGTGAGCCACCGCGCCTGGCCAGCTGTGGAGATATTTTAAGGAAAAATATTGATGGCTTTGCTTCCTGTGATGTAACCAAAAAAGATCCACAGAGTACAAGTTGGTGAGAGTGAAAGTACTAACAAAAGTTTCTAATCTCATAATTCAGTGGAAGCTTGTGCACTGAGACAACCATAAGAAAGAAAAATGAACGAAGAGTACCATCTCCTAAGATGGGTCTGAATCTAAATGCTCCAATTCAACTAGTGACTGACTACACAAGAGACATTTTACTTCATGTCCTTTTGGCATCTGTCAAAGCTCTGATGTTAAACATAGATCAAAACAATAACTGGCTCTTTCAATAAGTATTAAGAATAGAACAAAAGTCACTGGTGCATGTGTTAATCAAGTTAACAAGTCAAATGAAGATGTCTCTCAATCATCTCCCCAGTTGGAAGAGATACCTAGCAGATGATACAGGAAATAAAAACGGAGGTTTCAGAGTTTATTTAAATAACACAATAAGGAAAGTTTCAAGACAGCAAGAGAGAATAAAACCACAACAGCGCCTACAAAGCCACAGACAGTGTCCAGGATTTAAAAAATACTAAAAAGGAATTAATTGGTTTTACAAAACACCTCTGTTAATCTCACATTAACAATGGTAGAATGCACTGGCGCCATACATGTAGCTAATTCTAGTGCAAACACAAGTATCATATCCAGAAAAGACAAGTCAAGGGAAAATACTCTCACCACAAATAAATGTATGTGAAGTAATGCACCTGTCAATTAGCTTGATTTAGCCATTCCACAATGCAGACCCATATCAAAACATCATGTACACCATGAATACATACAAACGTTGTCAATTTAAGAACAGGCATTAAGGGAAACAACTGAATTTCTGTATTACCAGAAGCCAAAGGATCTAAAGTTATATTACATCAGTGAATGAGAACCAGAAATGGATTCTAATTCTAAAATGGAACAATGTTTCCACATATAATGTCCAAGACTATGTGACACCCCATAACTATTATAATTTCAAATAATGGCAACATTTAAAGCCATAGAAGTGTCCCTTATGCGTATTGAGTGTCTTATCTGCCAGGTTCTACTCTAAGTACATTCCTATTACTTTATAAAGGAAACATCTTAGGCACAAAAGGTTAAGTTACCTTTCTGCAATCACAGAGCTGAGAAAGCAGCAGAAACAGGAGCTGACGTCAGGTCTAAGACTCTAAGGTAGAATTCCTATTGAAGGGACCATACTGATGAAATTCTCCTTTAACTCTCCCAGGGTGCTTATTACAATGCTATATGCTAACACAGAAAAGCCCAGAGGCTCAGGGTTATATTCAGATTAAAACTTTAAAAAGGGGTTCCTAGTTATCTCCACTCCTTCTCCTGGCTCAGTTATCTGCATCCTTTCTTCCTCTTGCTTTTAAGATGATAAACACATAACACGGCGTCAAGAAAATGTGTTTTCATTAATTGCTGAGAATAAATGGATGTTCAATAATTGCTCACTGAACAGAATTCGGCTGAGCAACAACAACAAACACCCAATCATCTGCATAAAAAGAGAGTGGAATGGGCTAATGAAGTGTATTTCACACCTCAGGAGAGAAAACATAGTTACTGGTTTCAAAATGAAATAGCCTCAGAGCAAGTGCATGTGATCTACCATGTCTCTTCATTCTGTATTCCTCTCTACTTCCCTTCTTCAGAACCTCACCATAACCTTCATTGGGAGCGGGGGTGGAGTGTGATCAAAGGGAGGGAAAGAAGTCACAAATAACTGCAGTCTCTTCCATCTGGATCACTTTCCACACCTTCCCAGGAGATGGAGGTGTGGGAATGTAAAATCTTCTATCTCAAGCACACCCCAACATGCAAAGGCTTAGGAAGGCATGAAATTAGCCCAGCTTATCAATCATGGAGCCCAGTTGGAGTCTGGCTAAATTCTATTGAGTAGAAAGGGGAATAAAACTTTTGAAAATTAAACTAAATGAAGAACCTTTTCCTCAGGGCAGGAGAGGTACTTGTAATTGACTTTTCAACTAGAATGAAGGTTCATGCATGGCCCCAGGCTTTACTCCTCTGGAGAAGGAAATGAGAAGGCAGGCTACGGGCCACCCAAGCCAGAAGAGAGAAACTCAAATAAATGGTACCAAGTCAATTTGCCAGCAGCCTCCTAATGAGGAGCCTCACACACCCAACTCTCAGAGCTCTTCATTTCCAAGAGGTATTTTAACTATCTTTAGCTCTGGGGTTTTCATGATGGCAATGAAACCACCTTGTCTCCCCCGATAAGTCACTGGAACGCAGTTGGACCCCTGAAAAAATTTGACTTGAATGTACCCAGGCAAAAGAGGTAACGGTCTGAGAGAGGGGCAAACCCTACAGAGTCAAGGCTACGTGCCCTATTAGCATTACTAAGTTTGACCTCTGTCCCCATCGCCCTATGGCAAAGAAAAGAGAAGCATCTGTATCCCGTAAGAAAAACTATGGCAAGAGTATTTTATTTAACCTCAAAAATGAAGGTATTCTCCTTCCTGCATGGCATCACCAGCTGTTATTAGTCAAGTAACAACAGCACACAAAAAGGGGGACAGAATAAAAAGAAAAGGCAGCAGAGAGTCTGTGGAGGCATGACCTTGGAATTGGCCTATTTTACAAGACCCCAAAGCTGCCTACCCTGCCCCAACCCTTATCTCCCCCAGTCCATAAAGGGGAAGACAGCCGATTTTGATTCTCTACTAGGTTCTAGGTGAAATAGAGATTAAAGCATGTAAAAAATTCAAGTGGCCCTTAAAATCCTCTGCAACCGTTAAAATACAAAAGCTGCTATTTAAATTCAAGGGTACAAATGAAAATGAGGCTCAGATTTAGGGAAAAAAACAAGGTAAAAGTAACCAACTTTAGTTACTTCCCTCCCATATCTATACTTACTCATCTTTTCCCTCTGGCTGTTTCTGAGTTGTTTCTGTTATAATAAACCATTAAATGCTTCCTGGGCTTTTAAAGGAGGAGGAAGACACAGACTCTGCTCTTCAGATCCACACTCTACGAGCAGTGACCCAAACACTGAATCTGAATAGGGTGGTGACTGAGATGGCAAACTCTCTAAAGATCTGGAGCCCAACCCTGGCCCTGCTTTGATCCTATGCAGGCTGCTTGTACACAGGAAGGACATCTACTGCAGGGAATTCATAAAACAGCACTAGCCAAGTCCAACAGTACAGATGTGATGTCCTCATGAGAGAAAAAGAAGTGCTCTTAAAAGATGAGCTCTCACATGTTCATCTAAATCTCAGGGTACAAAACTGAGCATATATGTGCTAATGACAACTGGAATGACTGCTACAGACATGCATTTGTATGGGCCCAGAATGCCCCCAGCATACTCAATTGTCACTGGCAGAATTCCAAAAATAGCTACACAGAGAGCAGGAGCTTCAGCTACACTGAATTCCACGGCAGCATGGACGAGTATGTTGGCAGCATAGAGTCCCTGAAGATAAAACCTATCAGCAACCAGAAGGTCTATCCCCATTCCCAGGTTTTGGTAGAGTATTCCATAGCTCCTAAATGGTGGCCCCTACCTGTGTCCATTGTCCTGTCACTGCCACTGTGGAACTGATACCATAACTTTCCCTCTGTTGTTTCTCTGCCTTGAATACACTTCTGTTTTTCATTTACCTAACTTACTTCTAATATTTTTTTTTCAAGATTCAGCTCATATGGCATCTCTTCTTGACAAACCCAGATTTCCTGATACTGACTCTCTTTATACCTACCCAAGCTGAATGATCCTTCTTTCCCTAAATAATTTGTATTATTTAAAAAACAAAATCAGAAAGTAACAAGTGTTAGTGAGAATATGAAGATGTTAAAACTCTTGTGTACTGTTGGTATAAAATGGGGCAGCTGCTGTACAAAACAGAATGGTAGTTCCTCAAAAAATTAAAAATAACAATTACCAAATGATCTAGTAATTTCACTTTTGGGTATATTTCCAAAATAACAGAAAGCAGGGTCTTAATGGGGAGTTAGTGTTTAATGAGTATAGAGGTTCAGTTTTGCAAGACAAAAGAAATTCTAGAGATGGACAGTGGTGATGGACAGTGATGTGAATATACTTAATGCCACTGAACTATACATTTGGAAATGGTTAAGATGGCAAATCTCATGTTATGTCTATTTTACTACAATTAAAAAAAGAAAAACTAGGAAAAAAAGTAAATAGCTAACTAACTCTGCTTATTTTTCCCCCAAGGGGAAAAAATCCCACCCTTCCTGGGGAGGTAGGGAGAGTGACAAAGGACAGAACCATAGGTCCTCCATATAAAAATACATGTTTTTAAGCTTTTCAAATTTCAGACTCAGCTACAAAACAGTCTAACCAATCATATCTACTCCCAGGAGCCACAGAAAGCTACTCACCTCACTGAGGTAAATAAAAAAAGAGCAGGTGGACCCATCCACTCCATAGTCTGCGTAGCAGGGATCTGAACGCCACATGTCTTTCATCCACTGAAACAAGAAGAACATCTCTGAGCAGCCCATTCACAGGCCTTCTACATCTGCTGACATGGGAGGGAAGGATAGGAATAGTGAAGACTGAGTGAATGGCTCAAGCTGTGACCTAAAGAACTGAGTGAAGGAGTCACTGAGCTGAGGTCAAGATAGTCATGTGCGCAGCTCACTTCCTTGGATGATTAACAGGTAGACACTGGCTTGAGTTAGGCCTCAGCAGAAGTGCTTACAGTGGAGAACAAGGTTGTGATACAGCAAGCAATAAAGCCCAGAAGAGGTGGTGGCTTAGGGATTTTTATCAACATCAAGTGCCTAATGGGACTCTGACACCTACACCCTCTCCAGGAACTCCAGTTCCATCAGCCCACAGCACGGTACTCAAAACAGTGTGTGAACGAGGGCACACGTGAGCACTGACAGATGGCCCACATGGATACCACCCAAAGGCTTCTGGGGCTGGTCCCACTGTCCTAACTACTTCCCTGAATGGACACTTTTCTCTGAAAACTACTGAGCAGGGAAGGGTCTCCCTGGGGGCAGGCCATATAAATAGGGTTTTTGAAAAAAATGCAGCCAAGTTAAAGAGCAACCAAGTGTCTCTTGGTAGTCAACCACAAATACAAACCTGACACTTAAACCACAATCTGGGGGTTTCAGAGCAGGAGCCTAGGGACTGAGAGGGTAGGGAGTTGGACAATAAATAACAGCAGTTCCTTGTCATTGGTCCTTGAAGGATCACCTGCTGGAAGCTGGGAAAGAGAGAGGGGAAGTCAGCTTCAAAGACTCAGCAGGTGCCTGAAATGGCCCAGGCTCTCTCATGCTGACCACTGAGAGACACTGCTGACCAACCCCACAGGGTTGACACTGGCAGAGGAGAGTTGTCATAGCCACAGCCAACGTCGGCAGGATGGAGGCACCTTGTCACTGATCCATGTCAAGCGCTCACTCACCCATTTGTATCACTGAGGAGGAAAAGGACGGGGAGGGAAAAAGAAGGGGTGTTTGTGCACATTGGGGATGATGCAAATGACCCTGTTTGCCTCTGCCTTACCTTGATCTTCCCCTCACAGTGGGGGTAGCCGTCCATAGGAGGCAATACACATTTTTCTTGAGCTCCGTTAATGATATCTGTGAAGAATGAAAAACAACAAAGGATACAATGAGGTCTATAAAACACAAGACTAACATTCTCGTAAGCCAAGAGGCAGGGAGAGAAACCAAAAAAGAAAGGTATCTACTGGCACCCATGTTCTGATGCATGGAGCCCCTCCAGCTCCAACATATCTCATTGGTCCACAGTGATGACTGACCTGAGGACAGCCCACCTACAGGCTGGCCAGAGACCTATGACAACATGTGTGGCCTGGCTTAAAAAAGTGAGCCAGGCCAACCAGAGCACTTGCTTAGAAATTTGCAATTGGGAAGCTAAGAAACCAAACAAGCAGGGAGCAGGAAATAAAGTCATGTGATTAGGAGGGTCCTCCAGCACTGGTAGGGCCATTCTAGGCTATGTGGGCAAGCTGAGGCCATGAACAGACCCCATGAAGACAATTGCATGAATTGAGAAAGCCAGCAGGCCAGAGAGATGTGAATAGAGCTGGTGCACAGAGAGCCATGAGACGTATATGCACCATCCTAAGGAACTCCCACTCTGCTTCCATAGGATACAGCCACTTACAGACCCAGTTCTTAGATTTCCATGAAGGTCTCCTTATTGTTTTAAAGATTTCCTCACAATAAACTCCTTTTTTATTAGTTAGCTTGAATGTGTTCCTATTCCTTGTAGTTACAGGGTCAAAACTAAAAGAAATGTCATCGAGAAGCTAAGGTCATTTCTTTGTGATAGAAACATTTAATATACTCCCCCTAGCTATTTAAAACCATATATTATTGTGAACTATAGTCATCCTACAGTGCCACAGAACACCAGAACTTATTCCTCCTGTCTAGCTGTAAAGAAATGAGAAATGTTTAAGATGATGAACATGCTAATTACCCCTATCTGATCACTATACAGTTTACATATCACAACATCACATCACTATGCACCCTACAAATATGTATATCGATTAAAAAATTTAAATGAAGCTTTCAACCTAACGGTGAAGAACATACAAATAAATGAACAATGAAACAATAGTGTAACAGGCATTATGGCAGGGCTGGGAAAGGAAGAACACCCAGCCCACTCTCCAAAGGTCTAAGAAGGCCTCCTGCAACCAGTGATATCTTAGCCGAGATATGAAGACAAAATAGGAGTGAGCCAGCCAATGGGACAACCTAAAGATGCTGCTCGAGGAACTGAGGTGGTCCCAAACAGAAAGAAGTGTGAGGTACTCAGGACAGACAGGACATGCAGGCAGGGTGCAAACAGGAAAGGCTTCAAATGCCACAATAAGAACGCTGATCTTTACCCTAAGAACATGGTGGAACAATGTTATGGAGGGGAAGATTATGATCACACTATTATGCAGGAATGACAATTTTAGTTGGAAAACAGGACAACCCTAAACCTATATGCTTCTCTTTTCAGACCTACTATATTTTCAAGAAATGTCTAGAAAATATCATTACTTTCATCTGATAGTTTTCTAAGGAAAGCACTAATCAGAAATTAGATTCCAAACTGCAATATTATTTGACAGGGGTACTGAAATGATAACTCAGTGGCTGCTGAGGCTGAGACAGAAGTTAGTGCTAAGGAGGATTGTACCTGCCACTTGAAAACCAGTTCTTTTGATAGTCTGTCACCAAAATTCTTGATCTCTTGATTCAAATATTTCAACAAGCTCTCTACCTGCTAAGAATAATTAGAGCATAAAAATAAACACCCTCTTTCTCATGGGGTACTTAGTAGTTAAAATGGAAGGTACCTGGCTTGCCAGAGTCCCTCTTGCATGATCTGTAAAATGGGAAGGATTCTGCTTCTATTTCACCCAGCTCTTACTGAGTAAGTCAACATGCATCAAGAGGCTGGTCTGGCACACCCAATGGCAGATACCATGGGACACAACAGGTGCTTAAAAGTTGGCACTTGCTATGTAATTCCACACAACTTTTACTTGCTATATCTGGGAAAACAGCATTTCAAATGCACAGACGCTTCTGGAAATGCATTCTGTGTTTTTGAAATAGATGCGGACTTGAGGTAGGGTTCTCCTTCCAGCTGCCAGCTCCCAGAAGCATTAACAAATGGAATGCCTCAGCGAAGAATAGTATTTCGCAATGACTACTATTCCTATCACTATTTTTAATTCTGATTTTGCTTGCCAACATTTACTTGGCATGATTGGGGGTTCTGGCCAAGCAAATGAGCACCAGCAAAGGTTCCACGAAATTAGGCACAGTCTATGAGAGCCTGGAGCTGGTAGTAAAGACGTTTTAGGGGATACTTGGCAGGAAAATGCCATCCCCTTTTCACCACAGATACTATTCTACTTCTGGAATATTCAGTGCCAACTAGAGGCTACTGACATGGTGGTGTGGGAGGGCGGGGTGAAGAAGACTCACTGAATGAGAAAATAAACTAACAGGTCCATAAAGGCCTGCAAGCAAAGCCCCAGTGCTGACAGTGTGGGTCCATTCATTAAGAGTTTCAATAAAACTCTTAAGGAATAAAAATGTTAAGGGTCAGCAAACTTTTTTGTGAAGAACCAGACAGAAAATATTTTAGTCTCTGTGAGCCACAAGGTCCCTGTCTCAACTACTCAACTCTGCTGTTGTCACAAAAAAGCAGCCACAGATAATAGCTGAACAAATGGATAGGCTATGTTCCAATGAAACATTATTTACCGAAATAGGCACAGGCTCCCACGCTGCTGAGCTAGGAGATTGCCAAAACAACGCCCCTCATTTCTGCCAAAGCCTGCTGGACTGACTTCTTTCAAGGCTCCCTGAAGGCTTTCCTCTTCCTGGAATGTCCTTCTCCTCAGTCCCTCCAGGCCACCACACTTCCTCTGCCCAGTTAAAGCCCCTTCCTCTTTCTTCAGCTAAACCAACACCTCCATGAACAAACAGTCCTTAATCCTTCCTTCCCATGCCCAGTCAGGATTTTGTTAGGAATCCCGCCCTCCTCTGGGCTTCCCTGGCCTCCTGCTCACATCGCTCCTTCTGCAGTGAGCAACTGTGTTATTCCTTTATGTCTGTCCATTTCCCTTCCTAACACATGAGAAACCTATGGGAAGGTTATGTCTTCCTGCTGGATCTTCAGATACAAAGTGCCATCTGACTGAATAAACACAGGCACGTTCCCTGCTGCCCAACAGGCCTGACTCCTGGGCTCAGGGAGAACTAGACTGAGCAGAGACTCCCACCTGGCCAGGGCTTTTACTCTTCCTCAAACTTGCAGTTTGTTTAATTCAGCAGAGTCTCCTCTGCAACTCCATGTTCTTATACACAAATTTTCTCTCCTTATTTAGTTACACAGCAATGGGTCTGAATAGACAAGGGGCTTCCAGAAGCATTGGTTTAAGAGTGTTCAAGGTTCTTGGGTAGAAGGAATCTGTGACTGGAAGACACCGGAAGTCCCAGCCTTCCCAGCATGGGGCAGAGTTGCTTCCAAACCTGACCAGGAATAACCATCACACCAAGACTTTCCATCACACCACAGCTCATAATGACTTTCAGGTCCTTTTCAGAGGATGGCTCCTCATTTTGTTTCTATCAAATGACCAAAATTCTATAAACATTTTTATTAGGCTGTGTCCATGGAAGACCTTCCTACCTGTGGAAATGCCTCTCATCTAAGTTTGGTTAAAAAACAAAACTTTGGGCCAAAAAATGTTAATTTTACCGGTTTCCAGAGGAAACTGAGATGACTATACAAAAGCTCTCTTCAAAAGAGGGAGGCAGGTACTGTGCTTATGGCCTGGGTGACATATCCTCAGGACCCCAAGCCTCAGCGTCACATAATTTACTCATGTAATAAACCTGCGTGACATGGACTCTTTATAATAAAAGTTGACATAAAATAAATAAAATAAAATAAAAAGTGAGGGCATAAAAAGGAGAAACATCCTGCCAAGATATGTAACTTGAATGCTCTGCCTGCTGTTTATCCTGAGCTTTCCCCATGCCAATTTTTTTAAATGCTGAAAGGGCAAGGGAAAATAAAAATGTTAAGTGTTAAGCAATGAAGCTCAGCTCTGTTTGGGATTCATTTTTATCTGGTACCCTTACACCAGCCCAAGTTGCAACATCCTTCCCCCAAAACCTCACCTCTGTATGATTTTACGTCATTGGCAACCAGGTGTCTACACAGAAAGCAGATTACGCAGGTGTAAAAATTCTGTTGCTTTATCAGTCACTTATGCCCACACAATGCAGTGGGTGTTCGAATATGGGTTTAATCTAAGCGAACACACACTTTTCCTGCCATCAAAAATGCTTAAGATTAAGGAGGAACATACACACGGCAGCAAGAGATGTCGCATACACACACACAGAGGGGGTGTTCCTGTGAGGCGTGGGGCCAGATTCTCCCCGACAGTCCCAACAGACATACACATATCGAGAGAGATGTGTACAGAGGGAGACAATGGCATTTTAAATACATATTAAAAAGTGAGAGGGACAAAGAAATACAAAACCAGACAGATATAAATACACATATATTCTTGCTGTCTGTGGCCTCTGACCAAGTAAGGGAAAAGGGGATAGTCAGAGCAGGAGAAATTGGTATGGCAGTCTCAAAGAAACAGTGAGAACAGAAATAGGGAATACAGGACAGGAAAAGAAATGGATGGAGGATAATAACTTGCCTTGATACATCACATACATTATCCCATTTTAGAAACAAGGAAGATGGTTACCTCATCTGACAGTGTGAAAAGAAAAACCTTTAAAATCCTCAGCACTGACCTCCAAATTCAGCCCACTGTCACTGGGCATCTGCTGCCTGCCACATGCTGAAATGCCAATACTGTGCCCTTCTAAGACTCAGCCCTGCTTTCTGGGGTCTGGTACACGTGGGAACAAGGGAGAAACCACAGACAACAGTGAACGAGGTACCCAGCAGCAAAGCCTCCTCTACCCACTGGTACTCCCAGGATACACACCCAGCACACTGGAGACTCCATATTGTTTAACAATGAAAGGAACAAATGCAATGAAGAAGAGGCCTGGTGGGAGTCTCTGCTCAGTCTAGTTCTCCCTGAGCCCAGTTCCAAAGAACTGAAGAGGAAAGAAAGTACCACGGATAAAATGGGGTGGGAGAGCCTCACCTGAAGTTACTGACTCAAAGAGTCCAAGTTCTGGACTGTACATGCTGCACAGCTGAGGAAAACAGCAGGAAGCTGCAGCAGTGAGAGAAAAGTCATTCCTGATGCTGGGAGAATGGACATGGCCTGGCCCCCGTGTGAGTTACTGACAGTCACATCTTACTGGTATTCAAAAAAGAGAGGTTTATGGTTGTGTGAGAGATAATTTTTTTGCTTGTTTTTGAGACAACAGTCTGGCTCTGTCACTAGACAGAGGCACAATCTGTGCAGTGGCACAATCTCAGCTCACTGCAACCTCGGCCTCCCAGGTTTAAGCGATTCTCCTGCATCAGCCTCCTGAGTAGCTGGAACTACAGGCATGTGCCATCATGCCCGGTTAATTTTTGTATTTTTAGTAGAGATGGGGTTTCGCCATGTTGGCCAGGCTGGTCTCAAACTTCTGGCCTCAACTGACCCATTCGCCTCAGCCGCCCAAAGTGCTGGGATTATAGGAATGAGCCACCACACCTGGCCTGGATATCATCTTAATAAATCATTTGTTAACTGCCCCACTTCTTGCACAAATCAGATGCTAGATGCACTGGGTGTCACACAAAGCTACTTTGATCTTCTAACTGCCCAGGATCAATATTTATATATACATAAAGATGTTATCATCCATTTTTTAAAAAGTATCAACTATCAACTATGCAGCACTTTATAAAACATTCACTTACTACAAACTTATTTAAACTAATAACCACTCATTGCTGAACAAAGGAGATCTGGAAATAAGGCTATAAAAAGAATCTCAGGGTTAATCCCAATTCTGCCAATGCTTAAAGATGGTACACTATGTGTAAGAATCTGAACTACCTGTTCCAGGGTGAGGATGATAAAATGAGGCAGTGGAATGGAGAGGAGTGGATGGGAGGGAGAGAGAGAGAGAGAGACAGACAGACAGACAGACAGACAGACATGTGTTTACATGCAAGCCTCACACAGAAGACAGTTCTTTCAGAGTGACAATACCAGGAAGAGAGCCTTCACCAAGAGTCGCTTTTCCATACATTAATTATATATAGCAAAGGCGACAGGTGTTTGAGATGACGCTTCTTTTTCAGAACCTGTAGAACACAGTCTCACTAACTTTTTATCTAGATCTGGACAGGCATCTGATAGATTAAGGGCATCTAAATCCCTCACCATTGCCATTTTAAAGGGTAAAAAGAGGAAAGAAAAAAATAGAAAAAGTAGGTTTATAAAAACTCTAAGAAGACTCAAAGAACATGCACATCTGTTGACCCCAGGAAGTTACAGGAAACTGATTCAATCTCCTTACCCAATTGTTTTGCTGACTGCTAAGATAATCAACCACACAAGCAAGGGCTCCATTCAGTGCAATGACACCCTAATCATATTTTCCCTCAAAAGATAAAGGTCTCCAGTGATTCTATTTTATGTCAGACAAGGTACACCTGTTATGAACACGGGGCCATGCTGATCAGATGGCCCCTGCAAAGTGTGGCCAAATGAGCCTGCCACTGGCCTGGCTGCCCAGCAATGGCTGGGAACCGACTCAATCTCCACAATGGACTTGGAGACCCAGCTCTTGCCAGCACCTCCATCAGCTGGCTTGGCTTCAGGAATGGATGACAATAAATCAGACTGAAACCAGTTATGGTGGAATACAGTCTCCCATTGAAAATGACCTCACCAGTCATTCGCTGCTTGGCAAATATTCATTTAGGAATGCTTTACTTTAGCACCATAGAAAAGTAATTTGATTTCTGTAACTGAGTCACGCACATGAATTCCAGGACCAGGGCCCCACAGCAATAGGAAGTTCCCTCCCTACCAATGCAATTGGGTAGTCAAAATATGGGAAGCAGGCAAGATTCACTCATGGACCCCCAGAGATGTATACTGGGATGTTCGAAAAGACTTGTGTGTATATCGGGTTTTTTTGTTGTTGTTGTTTTGTTTTGTTTTGTTTTTTTGCTTTTTAATCTAAGTTGAAAATGGAATCATCATTGCATAAACTAATTTTAGAGCTGCAAGGGACTTCTGAAACCATGCTATTCAACCCTCTACTTTTCCTGATTCATAACACTAAGGCCTAGAGAGATGAAGTGCCTTCCTCATTCCTGGATTAAACAAAATCCACTGAGTACCTTCCATGTGCAAAACACTCTGCATGTTCAACCAGGCATTTGCCTTCTGAGTCAAGATTATTTCCACCACACTGTTGAAATGTACAACACCACCTTCATGTTCTGCGTGGGAAATTTCAAGAGTGAACACAGTAACAAATTCTTATTCCCTCTTGAAGAAGTACCTCCAAGGGCCTCATGGAGTTGCTGTACAAAAATCTGGAACTGTACTGCCCATGTACAAAGACTATGGACATAATGGAAGTCAACAAGAAAATCAAATTCAATGTGTGTGTCTGTGCGTGTGTGTGTGCTTGCGCGTGCACGCGCACGCGCATGTGGCTTCTCTATGGATAGCTTTTCAAGAATAGGACTAATATATAAAAAGAATAAGTTGTGATGACTATGAAAACACACTGCCAAAGATAATGTCAGAAAATTTCAAATCACAATTCAGCTAAATAACTCCAGATTATTTATACCTCCTTTTGTCATACCCTCTTTCATTTATTTTATGGCAGGATTATCTGTCTAATTAAGCTGTTAAGCCAGCATTAATAAGATTTTTCCTTTTTTTGATAAATTAGTATTAAAAAGGGGGCCCTAGGACTGAGATTTTCAGTATGAGAAACAGTTATATAAGAATGCTATACATACACACAGCCACAATATCATATATACACCAACCCTCCATTCTGATAAGCCCCACACTGCTGCTATTATAAATGTTCAGCAAGGGAAAAGGTTGGTTATCACACACCTAGGAGCACACACATGATAGGAAGAACACAGCTGGAGTTAAATAATTGTCACTGACAAGAGTGGAGAGCTTATCATCATTAGTCATCAGGGAAATGGAAATCAAGCAAAATGAGGTACAATTTCACATCAACTAAAAAAGCAACAATAAAAATTCAGGTAACAACAAGTATTGACAAGGATGTAAAGAGAGTAGAACCCTCAACTAGTAGAAATTTAAAATTGTGTAGCTGCTTTGGAAAACAGTCTAGCAGATCCTTAAAAATTTAAACAGACTTATCATCTGAGCCAGTAATTCTACTCTTTGGTTTATATGAGAAGAAAAACATGTCTACAGAAAAATCTGTATATAAATGTTCATAGTAGCCTTATTCATAACAGCCAAAAATTGGAAACAACACAAATACTCATCATTCAATTAACAGACCAAATATAATATATCCATAAAATGGAATATTATTCAGCCATAAAAAGGAATGAAGTGCTAATCCGTGCTTCACAGATGAACCTTGAAAACATTATGCTAGATGGAAATAACCAGTCACACAGGCCACGTATATGATTCCATTGACATGAAACGTTCAGAACCTACAGGCAAATCTAGAGAAATAGTGAATGGATGGTTGTTTAGGGTTGAGGAAAGGGAGGGGAGGTGATATGGTGCTTCTTTTTGAGGTAATGAAAATATTCTAATACTGACTGCTGTGGCGGTTGCACAACTGAATATATTAAAAGCCTTTTTTTTGTTTTTTTTGAGACAGGGTCTCACTCTCTGTTACCCCGGCTGGAGTGCAGTGGCATGGGCCACAATTATCTGTGACTTCCTTGGCTGAAGCCATTTTCCTGCCTCAGCCTCCTGAGCAGCTGGGAATACAGGCATACACTGCCACATTCAACTAATTATTTTGATTTTTTGTAGAGATGAGGTATTGCTATGTTGCCCAGGCTGGTCTCAAACTCTTGAGATGAAGCCATCCTCCTGTCTCAGCCTTTCAAAGTACTGGGATTACAGGCATGAGCCACCACAATCGGCCATAAAAGACTCAAACACTTTAAATAGGTGAAATGAGTGGTATGTAAATTTTCTCGATAAAGTTACAAAAGCCAGAAAAATTCTGACATTAACTCATTCAACAAACACTGCACCTAAATTAGAGCATTTGTTATGATTTCAATACCTTCCTAAGCACAGAGAGAAACACAAAACATTAACTGCCTTGAGGGAGCCTTAAATATGCTTAGAAGCCCAAAACTTGCTCACCAAAGGCAGTTAACAGTCCAATGCAATATACACTTCCCATGGGCAGCAGATGGGACAAGCGATGACCCAGCAAAATGGGAAGAATCTGGAGCCCTGAATGTCAGTGTAGAGGAGAGCCATTCTGCTGGCCTGAACTGCTCAGTACTAGATTATCATGTGACAGAGAATGAGCCCTTTGTCTCATTTCAACACTGCATTTTTGGGTCTCTTTGTTGCAGCAGCTTTTAACCACCAGACAAATGGGATTTGAGTTGAGCTCTAACGTAGAAGTCGGAGAGAAAAGGGAAGATGAGTACACTGAAGAACAGCAGTAATAATGCCGGTAGCCAAAAGAGACTGAGGGTCTACTAGGAACACCACTTATCTTACGTACACCAATTACTCGATTGAGCCTCACAACAGTAAGTACTATTATCCTTCATTCTACTGCAGAAGACACTGGGGCCCAGGCAGATTAAGTAATTGCCCAAGGTCACAAGTTAGCCATTCCTAGTCCTGTCTGCACATTTAGAAATTACTTGGGGAGCTTTTAGGAATGTGCCTCACCTTCCAGACATTCTTATTTAAATGGCCCCAGGCAGTGGTTCTGCTACTCCCTTTCTTTTCACTGCTCTCCCAACCTCCCGTGATTCTAAAGGGCAGCCACAGCAGGGAACCAATAGAG